TTATATTTTTTAATTTTTATAGGTTCTGTGTGGGTGCCGATACGGTGATCTAGTCATGGTATTGTAGAAGAAATCATGAGTTGAGCTCTAAGACAAAATAAAGATATTTTTGACCTGTGCGTACTATACTGTTCAATGTATTAGAAGTAAATAGATTGAATTATTGGAGTTTCCTCAGTGGTGGTACAGTAAACCTGAGGTTACGGTCTTTACTTTATGTGTTAAATCGACGTCAAATCTATTTCTGTTGTCGAATCATAATGGATAGTTGATGTGGGAGGAAATGACCCCTCCAGTAATAGAAGAGAGCCCTAAGAAGGACTACCTTGACAGTGTATAGCTGTCAGCGTAACTGCAGGTTGTCTCATGTACTCTACAGTTTAATGCACTCGTTTTTTGCATCGCATGTAAATAGCGTTCAATGCTATCATTTGCTGTGCCCTTGTCTAACTACTTCAATGTTTTCCTACCTATTATTACAAGTTGGGTTGATCCACGATTAAGAAACATTAGAGAAACGTTTATTTGATGAGTTTGGTGTTATCACTGCCATTGACTTCTGCTTATCAAACTACGAGTTTCCAAATATATATATTCCGTATCCTGTTCTCGCTGCATGTTCTGCCTTCATTTTATATTTAAAATGTATTCTACCATGTTCACTAGGACAATTTAATCTCCATAGAGTTAATGCTTAATTATAATTGCCTAATTAATTGGCGTGCTTTCTGAAACAGTCGATAGGGACAGGATGTTTACAAGCATTGTAATTGTCAGCCTCCTTGCCATCTTTGTATGTTTCACCTGTAAATGTAGATTAAGCATTCCAAGACACCATGTTAGAACTTGCTAAATGAATTTTTAAAATTTTATCAGTAAGGTTCTTAAGTTTAGGATAAACAATGATACTCCTGATTCATATTGCCGGACAGTTCCTGCCATTTATTTTGCCTCTCAACAGGTGTACCAATAATTTGAGTTTTAAAAAGTCATTTACTATTATGTAAAGTAAACACCAATCTTAGTAAAGGATACATTGATTGAATTGAAATTATTACATTAAGGGAAAAATAGCATTAAAGAGAGTCTGCAGAAATACATTAAATTTTGGCTACTTATAAAAACCCCAGCTCAATTAAATTATTTAGACTTTCCGGAACCCAATGGTTATGCATATCGCAAATTTGATTACAGAAGTTTTTTTTAAATGTGTAAAGTTGCAGCAGTTTTGGTTGTTGTTTGTTTTATATGACTTCACTTTGTTGTTTGGTCAACCAATTACTAGAGTGACTTATTGAGCAGTGGCTTCTGTCCCTTCACATGTGGAAGTAACACCGTTTCACAATTGTAACTTCTTTATTCTTGTAGTGCAGTATACAAGAATTAATTTGTTATACATTAGCTTCATGTTTCATGAGGCAGAAGTATATTTTCTGGGAAAATTTTACATTGATTGTTATAAAAATGACAAATATGACTCATTTCTCATGAACTATTTGCAGATTAAAATAATGAAGATCAGGGTAAGTTTCATGTAAATATGACTGAGCTACTCAACTAAATAATGGGTAGATTGCAAAATCGATTAAATTATAGATTAATAGTGTTTAAGTTCTTAAACTTTTTTAAAATTTAAAATTCTGTAAAACGTTTTATATCCTATTCATGTTAATCGTTGAAGTATAATAACAGTTATAGAATATTCTAGTAAAATGTCAACGTCTGAGGTCGTGTAGTTCTGAGATATAAAATAATCCGCATGACCTCTCAGTATAATGGCTAACGATGTTTTTACTCAAGTCACCTTGTCTCCTTGAAAATGTATTGTGGTCTCTCATTTTTGAACCTTGAATTAGCATCAGTGAAAATGGAATTATATTGTTTCATTCTTCTCGCTTGTTTAACCACCAGCGTGAGAGGGTTATACAAAAAAGCATCAAAAGGGATCGAAGGTCATTACGCAAAAGTAGGATTGTTATTGCCCGTGAGCGTTACAAAGCCTTTTGGCAATCAATGAAAAAAGAGTTCCAAATTTGACTGGTATCAAAATCTTTCCTATTTTAGAAATGAAATAGAATGGATCACAAAAATCCATTTTTTTCTAAATATTTGCCCTTCTTTCTCTTTACATATTTTTTTTATCTCTAACACAAAACCTATTTGCAGGCCTAGAATAATTATTTCCGAGCTGTGTGTTTTCCAGTGATATGTATAGTTATATGTAGTTTTATGTCCATTATCTGTGAATTTCAATTGTTTTGTTGCTTAAATCTGTTGGAAGCAGGATTTGTTAAAATTATAGTTTTTGGATGTTTCAGAGCTATGTGATTCATGCAAAGCCAGTGTTTTCTGTGTGTTGGAAAAACCATACCAGTGAACTTGCCACAGAAAATATAAAAGTTTGTTGGAGAATGATTTTTTGGTGGATTGTACTCTCTCTTGCTGAGGGTCAGCAAACTGAAAGCGCATAGGCTGGTTTTATTATCTGCTTGCAGACCCCTGTATTTTCATGTAAGTTAAAAGGAGATTTTTAGTCCCTTTTAATTGATCAGTTTTTACTTTCAATGGCAATGTAGAGATTTCTTGGTCTTATAACATTTATCTTTTGTTTTACTCTTGGCTTTTGGATCAGAAAAGATTTGTTAGAAAGTATGACCTTTTCATTTTTTATCTTAAAATTTTTTAGTTTTAACAAGCATCGTAAAATATGTGTGGTCATGTTTTCATGTTGTATCTGTGTTTTGTACCAGTAAAAACCTGTCTAAGACATACCTCTTGTAGATGAAAACCTGTTCATCCCAAACACAGTCTCAGAACGAATGAGTTTATACGTGAAAATGGTCTCTATAGCCCAGAAACTGTTTAAAAACGCAGTGGAATGGTCTTGATGATAGTAAATAGGGCCGCTAAAAAGAAAATTATGTGTAAAATTTGGCACTATCTTGAAATGGCATATGGTGAAGATCACGTCTGAGAAGTAGATAGTGAACCGATGATTATTCCTCTCATGCTTGCTGTTGGGAAATCTTTGTCAAAACGTAACTGTTGGCTGTGACTTTCTCTTGCTTTAGTGTGATTATCAAGACCAATAAATGACTTGTTCATCGTTCGGATCCTTAAAAATTGGTTGTCAGTGCCCCCGCTCAATTCTGCAAAATTGCACCACATTGCTATCAGACAAATGAAAATCTATGAGAGACGCGTATCATCCTAGAGAGCCAGTCGTTAGGGTTGACAAAAGTGTAGACCACACAATTTAGTGACCGCTCGCCAGTGTAATGTAAGGAGTTGCTAGATTGTGTTTACCCTTTTCAAAGTGATTCTTTGAGAGAAGAAAAGCCACTCATTCTCATATTTCTTGTATTGGTTTTTATAGAATCTCTCTTCTTTTGGGTGGTGGCATTTTTAACCATTCCAGCATTCGCCTTAAGACCGAGAGAAATCAGGAAAAACCCCGGCCAGGATTGAACCCCGACCTCCAGATTGCGAAGTCAGCGCGCTTCGCACTGACCCACTTCGCTCGGTCAACACCAATTACGTATTTTCAATAATGTTTTTCTAGAATCACGTTTAATTTTTTCTTGATTTATTTATCAGAATTGATAAGAACATTTACAATATGATTTTCGAAGTTTTGAATCCGTTCAACACAATGCGCGTGCGCTGCCATGTCTATACGGTGCAACACTGCGGTACTTCAGTTCTGTTCTCAACAATGGATCCAGTTACTTGTGCGGCAATTTAGGCAACATATCAGCCGAATCAGTCGAAAGAAGAAAAAAAGAGAGAGGCGCAAGTGGATGAGAGAATACTTTACGCAAGGAAAACACACACGCCGGTGATTTATTTAAAAAATTTACGAGAGTGTCTCGTGACGATTTCTCGTTTTTACTGGACATTTTGAGAAAGAAAATAAAAAAAGGGATATTTAAATATTATTTTCTTGTCACTACAAGACACTAAATTAGAAATGGAAATAACCTCATGTGTATTTTTACTAGTTTTCACCATATTGCTTAATAAATATATATTTAATATTGATTTTACTGTAAAAATATGATACGAGTAATAAAAGAATAATCTGCAAGAAATTTACAATAAAACACGGACACGATGGTCACTCGGAAGACTACCTAAGACTACTCAAAGAACTCATGCCGCCCGGTATTCCGGATGACTTCGCTTCTTCTTTGGAGGATGCGCACGAGAAAGACGAACGAGATTCCCGTCAGTTGTGAGAAATCTTGCGCTATTGCCATAGAGGAGAGATACAATATATCTCTACTCTACGGCTATTGCATGCGTCCATCGTTTTGTCGAAAGAACTCATGCAAGTTTTAATACGTTGAAATCTGATTGGCTCGGGCGAAACTTATGTAGCAGCTTACGTTCGTCATTGTGAATGCTTGTTTTTAAATGTAACTTTTACTGCTAAGTTTACAACAATAAGGCTCATTCACAATATAAACGTAAACATAAGAATAACGCATAGACTTAACGTTAACGTAAGTGATAGACTGAAGTATTCACAATGTCTGACATAAACGTAAGCAAAACAAGAGTTCCTATTGGCTGGATATGAGAATCGAATTCGCGGTATTGACTGTGTCCAGGCCCATATGGCGTTAGTTCATCTATCAACTTCGCTACTATTTCGATTCTCGATTTTGAGTAAACATAATTGGTTTATTACTTTTGCACATTATTATTATTATTATTATTATTATTATTATTATTATTATTATTATTATTATTATTATTATGCATAAGCACAAAAGCTTGAAGTTTACAATCTTTTCAGTTAACGTTTTACATGTTATGCTTATGCGAATGCATTGTGAATGAGTGCGCTTATGGCCGTTGTCCTAACCTTTATGTTAACGCCTTGCTTATGTTTATGTTTACACTGTGAATGGGCCACTATTGTCCGATTTATTTACTCGTTGGATGAAACCGCAACAAAAAAGCTGCTGCGGTTTCACCCAATCGGGAGCTCATGCAGAGACGTCACTATGAGGACGTTGAAGCTCTCGATTGGATGAAACCGTGAACAGCTTAATACCGTCAAGTGCATGGTTAAATATACCCTAGTATACGTTATGTTAGCCAGATCAATCTTTCCTGTGCAATGTTTTCTCTTTGGTATTTCTTCCTTTGTTTTTTTTATATTTTTTTAATTTTTATAGGTTCTGTGTGGTGCGATACGGTGGATCTAGTCATGTAGTTGTAGAAGAAATCATGATTTGAGCTCTAAAGACAAAATAAGTATTATTTTTGACTGTGCGGTACTATACTGTCAATGTATGTAAAGTAAATAGATGAATTTATTGGAGTTTCCTCAGGTGGTACAGTAAACCTGAGGTACGTGTCATTACTTTAATGTGTAAATCACGTTCAAATCTATTTCTGTTGTCGATCATAATGGATAGTTGATGTGGGAGGAAATAGACCCCTCCAGTAATAGAGAGAGCCCTAAGAAGGGACTACCTTGACAGGTATAGCTGTCAGCGTAACTGCAGGTTGTCTCATGTACTCTACAGTTAATGCACTCGTTTGATGTTGCCTCGCATGTAAATGGCTTCAATGCTATCATTTGCTGTGCCCTTGTCTAACATGACTTCAATGTTTTCCTACCTATTACTCTACAAGTTGGTTGATCCACGATAATAAACATTAGAGAGAACGTTTATTTGATGAGTTGGTGTTATCACTGCCATTGACTTCTGTATCAAACTAACGATTTCCAAATATATATATTTCCTATCCTGTTCTCGCTGCATGTTCTGCTTCATTTATATTTAAAATGTATTACCATTGTTCACTAGGACAATTTAATCTCCATAGAGTTTAAATGGCTAATTATAATTGCTAATTAATTGTCTGCTTTCTGAAACATGTCATAGGGACAGGGATGTTTACAAGGCATTGTAAGTTTGTCAGCTTCCTTGCCACTTTGTATAGTTTTCATCTGTAAATGTAGATTAAGATTTCCGAGACCATTTAGAACTTGTAAATGATTTTTTTAAATTTTATCAGTAAGGTTCTTGAGTTTAGGATAACAACGATACTCCTGATTCATATTGCCGACATTTCTGCCATTTATTTGGCCTCTCAAGAGGTGTACAATAATGAGTTTTAAAAGTCATTTACATATTATGTAAGTAACACCAATCATAGTAAAGGATACATTTGAATGAATTGAAATTATTACATCAAGGGAAAAAATAGCATTAAAGAGAGTCTGCAGCAAATACATTAAAATTTTGGCTACTTTAAAACCAGCTCATTAAATTGTTTAGACTTTCCGGAACCCAGTGTTATGGCATATCGCAAAATTTCATACAGAAGTGTTTTTTTTTAAATGGGTAAGTTGCAGCAGGTTTGGTTGTGTGTGTTTTTATTATGACTTTACTTTGTTTGTTTGGTCAACCTAATTACCTAGATGTGACATGAAGAAGTGGTTCTGTCCTTCACATTGGAGAAACAATTGTAACTTCTTTATTCTTGTAGTTATAGAATATTCTGTAAAAATGTCAACATTCTGAGTCATGTAGTTTCTGAGATATAAAATAATCCAATAGCGTAATAAGAGAACTAATTCGTAAATATTAATATAAGTCTATTGATGTATGCATATACAACGTATGCAAAAACAATATAATTAGTGTATGTTTCAACATTTGGTGTCAATAATTAGTGTGATCAGGATTGCCATGCTCGCAAAAGAAAACAAGGTGAAAAGAATTAGAAGAATTATTACGTGTCAATATTATATAATTCTGTATTATTTATAGTAAAACCATTATTTATCCTCATAATAGTTGAATTAGGCTATTTACCTAAGAAATTACCTAAATAACAGTAATGTTGAAACAGAAGGCACTGAGTTCTTAAATATCAGTTTTATAGTTAACACAGCTTTCTTGTATTTATACAGCTTTATTTTGAGGATTCTTTTTAAAAAAAATATTTTTCTCTCTAAAATTGAGCTCTTGCCAATATTGAATTAATGTTTATTATTGATAAAATATTGAAAAGAATGATTAATTGAAGAAACAAAACAATAAAGAAAGAGAACTATATTACTAAATTATACACGGCTTCAAGATCAATATTTAAGTGTGATTAAAATTAAATGATTACCCAATATACAACCATCAAAAGTAAACAAAGACTTGAGAAAACATAAATGTAGTCGGAATTAAAGCATTTAATGCATTAACTGATATCTTAAAAACTACTACCGTAAAAATAAAAAAAATAAAAAATACTGAGAAACTTCTTAATTGTTCAGAACAGAAATATTATGAATTAATTTTTCTCTTATTTACAATAGCTTCCTCCCTATTGTTTTTCTAATAGTTTGTTGTTGTTTTCTTTTCTTTTAAACACATTTTTATTTTATTTTATTCACAATCTCTTTTTTCCTTTCTGTTTCATTTTATGTGACGTGTGAAAAAAGACATGTTACTATTTATAGAAAAGTTTTTGTAATAAAGTTTTTTCAGATCTGCACAAAGGCATAGCCTCGTGCAGTATTTTCTGTATATGTCATACTGATAATAAGTATTTATAACCACCTGATATATAAATAAATAAAACATGATGGCGATAAAAAAAGTCAACAGTGGTAACAAAAATGATATGTGTAAGAAATTAATGCATATTATCATTGTATGCTATGTTTTATCTCTTTGTTTTGTTTTGTGATATGGCAGCAACATTTATTATATAAACACATTTCAGTGAGCTTATAATAACAATAATTGAAGTTATGAATTTCAGGCATTTATTTTACCTAAAATAGGTAAGCCAAAAGGCATTTATTTTTACTAAAATAACCTGAAAAAGGTATTTATTCTGGCTAAAGTAGGGGATGCAGACAGTCATGTAAATAATGGAAAATGACATTTAAAAGGAATTGTTGAAAAAATTATAATGATTCTTTTTTATTCGAACTAAAACTCGGTTTAGTTAGATTTTAAAATCTTGATTCCGCATGACCTCTCGGTATAATGGCTACGAATTTGTATTACTCATGTCACTGTCTCCTTGAAAATGTATTGTGGTCTTTCTTTTGAACCTTGAATTAGCATCAGTGAAAATGGAATTATATTTTTCATTCTTCTCGCTTGTATAACCACCAGCGTGAGAAGGGTTATATAAAGAGCCATCAAAAGGGATCGAAGGTCATACGCAAAAGTAGGATTGTATTCCTCGTGAGCGTACAAAGCCTTTTGGCATCAATGAAAAAAATTCCAAATCTTGACTGGTATCAAATTTCTTTCCTATTTAGAAATGAAATAGAATGATCACAAAATCACATTTTTTTCTTAAATAATTTGTGCCCTTCTTTCTCTTTACATATTTTTTTATCTCTGGAACACAAAACCTATTTGCAGGGCCTAGGAATGAATTATTTCCGAGCTGTGTGTGTTCCAGTGATATGTATATGTTATATGTAGTTTTATGTCATTATCTGTGAATTTCAATTGTTTTTGTCTTAAATCTGTTGGAAGCAAGATTGTTAAAATGTAGTTTTTGGATTGTTTCAGAGCTATTTGATCATGGCAGAGCCAGTGTTATCTGTGTGTTGGAAAAACCATACCAGTGAACTTGCCACAGAATATAAAAGTTTGTTGGAGAATGATTTTTTGGTGGATTGTACTCTCTCTGCTGAGGGTCAGCAACTGAAAGCTCATAGGCTGGTTTTATCTGCTTGCAGCCCTTATTTTCATGTAAGTTAAAATGAGATTTTTAGCACTTTTAATTGATCAGTTTTTACTTTCAATGGCAATGTAGAAGATTTCTTGGTTATAACATTTATCTTTGTTACTCTGGTCTTTTGGATCAGAAAGATTGTTAGAAAGTTGACCTTTTCATTTTTTATCTTAAAATTTTTTAGTTTAACAAGCATCGTAAAATATGTGTGGTCATGTTTTCATGTTTATCTGTGTTTGTACAGTAAAACCTGTCTAAGACTATACCTCTGTAAGATGAAAAACCTGTCATCCCAAACACAGTCTCAGAACGGAATGAGTTTATACGTGAAAATGGTCTCTATAAGCCAGAAACCTGTTTAAAACAGCAGTGGAATGGTCTTGAATGATAGTAAATAGGGCCTGGCTAAAAAGAAAATTTATTTTAAAATTTTTGGCACTATCTTTGAAATGGCATATGGTGAAGAGTCACGTGCTGAAGAAGTAGAGTGAACGATGAGTTATTCCTCTCATGCTTGCTGTTGGGAAATCTTTGTCAAACACGGTAACTGTTTGGCTGTGACTTTCTCTTGCTTTAGTGTGATTATCAAGGACCCAATAAATATGACTTTGTCATCGTTCGGAATCCTTAAAATTGGTTGTCAGTGCCCCGCTCAATTCTGCAAAATGTCACCACATTGCTATCAGACAAATGAAATCTATGAGAGACTGTCTTATCATCCTAGAGTAGCAGTCGTAGGGTTGACAAAGTGTAGACCACACAATTTAGTGACCGCTCGCAGTGTAATGTAAGGAAGTTGTAGATTTGTGTTCTACCTTTTCAAGTGATTCTTTGAGAGAAGAAAAGCCACTCATTCTCATCATTTCTTGTATTGGTTTTTATAGATGCTGTTTCAAGAGGACTCTGGAAAGCACCCATTTGTCATCCTCTTAAATGCATCATTTGAAACACTGAAGGCTGTAATTGATTTTGTTTACCAAGGGGAGACTCATATTCCAGAAAGAAACTTAAAAGCGTTTCTGATACTTGCTCAGTCTCTGCAGATCAAGGGCTTAAATGCTTTTACTCGGGATGATGTATGTTAACAATGATAAAATTTGCTATTTGCATTTGTAATTTACCAAAACGTGAATAATATTTGTATTGTTTCTTTCAGAAGAATAAAAAGCAATCCAGCAGTCCTGCTCCAAATGTTCCTCAAGTTTCATCTGAAAATATTCAAATCACCAGTGAAGTTGATGGTATTAATGCTAGCCTTGGAAATTATTCTCAGCAGCATCCCCATCTTTCAGACAGCTACTCTGATAGTGTGCAAACAAACTCTTCTATTCCTCTTGCAGCATACAGTGCCTCATATGAGAATGTGCGGTCAGGGGCATCAATGACACATTTGGTTGAACATCATCGACCTTTAGGATGTGATGAAGTGTTTGCGGACTCTGAAGTGACTGTAAAACATGAACCTTTGTATCACGTATTTCCAGAGACTAGAAACAAAACACCGGTAAATGTTAAAAGTTATGAATGTGGGAGTGGAAATTTCCAGAGAGAAATGGATGTTGGAACTACTTCAGTGTGTGGTGATGAGGATTTGAACATTTTCTCAAGTACGTAAACTACTTGTTTTACTACTTCCATTGTGTAAATCTCTTATTAGCCATTTCAGCTCATTTTGTAATTCAGTTTCTGTTGGTTGAGAATATTGACCTAACTAAACAATGTTCACAAACCAAAAACTGGTTAATATAGTAAATGTGTTATTGAATTGTGTACCTTAGAATGCCATTTAGGTATTGCCATTAACAGCTGTAATTTCTTTCATTTAGTGTTTCTTTTTAGGTGATTCAAATATGTTGTATAAATTGTATCTTAATGATTTGATCCCACTTGACTTCTATAGTTGAACGAAACTGAGTTTGAACACAGTGCAAAGCTGTTTGTGTTCTATGTGTAAGTTATATTCCACAACCCCCCCAAAATCAGATTATTATCAGATGAAATAACTACAAGACCTTGCGGGTTTCGAAACTAAATGGTAGATTTTTTATTTCATGACAGGTCTAAGTTGTTTGTGATTCAGTTTTGTATTTCTTAAAATTTGGCAACTACAAAGCAAAATACCAATATTGCATAATCAATCTGGTCAGACTTGAAACCCTGAGAATAGGTAATTATTCATATACTTTTTGAGGGTACTCCATATGTAGACTCTAGGACATTTTGAAAAATTTCTTCTTGTTTTTTCTTTAAACTTTTAGAACGGATAGAGCTCAGTGCACTGAATAAAGTATTGCCAGTACCATTTTGATGTAACCTTTTGGTTTTCCAAAAATTATTCTAAGGCAATTTATTCGAAATGATTCCCACGTTAATATTAGCGTAATGGGTGTGTTTCACAATTTGTTGTTTGAGGAAATAATTGCTTCAAATAATGTCTTAAGAAGTTACTAAATGTTTTGTCTGGAAATGCGGTCAAATCTGCGCATTTTCAGGAACATTTTGTCATATTTTCCAAAAAAAAAATGTAAATATTAAGTCCAATATTTTTGTAGAGTCTCTGTCAAGCAGGGACTTGTGACAGGTGAGCCTACAAACATGGTCACTAAGGTTGTGGGTTTGAAACTGATAGAATGCATCAGTGTTTCAAATTGTGTTCGTAGCAAAAGGGACATTTGATGTTCCTTTTGAATTACATCTGTATCGTAATCTTTCCGAACCCTGACTGGCAATTGTATGCGAGATGAATTTAGAATTTGTATGTATGTGAATCCCTACCCTCAGGAAACGATACAAGCACTGAGATGATAAATAAGAGTACAGGATTGTGATAAGAACTTGCGGTGTACATTAATTGTGAAGAAGCTGTTCATTGGAAATGTTCCCAGAAGAGATAAAAGTGTAAACAATTACACTCTGTATTTAAACTGCAGGCTTTTTTGGAAAATTTAATCTATCTTGGAAGTGGAGAAATTAAACATGCACATGCTGAGATTTGATTTGTTCAATAGAGGGCTTGTTATTAGGAGCTAGAGGGTTGGCGCCAAAATAAATACCACAAATGCATAAAATATGCTGTTACCAGTTCTGTAATCTTCTTGATATTTACAATAATTATTTGAGCACTGATTCAGACTATAACAGAAGTAAATACTGTTGTCAGTAAATTACTTAAATAAGTTAAATAATAAATCAATCTATTTTGTTTGTAGGTTGTAGCGAGTCCTCTCATGGGAATACGGAATTGTCCCTGATGCCTCCTGCCCAAGAGCAGCGTACACAATTGAGCAATGAAGTGCCTTCTGAACGAGATGTTGCAGAGAGAGGTGAATCTTCCCAGCCTGAGAGTTTGATGCTGAAAGAAGAACATTTGGATGCTGAGAGTGATGATCTCATGGATGACCGTGATATGCCAGTAAATCATATGACTGAAGCAGATGTAGGACTGGAGTCTGCGTATGGGGAACAGAATCCTGACCAATGCTCAAGTGAGTAGAATATTTAGAAGTTTACTTTATTTTTGCAGGAATGAACCCAGCAGTATTTGTGTTCTATATTTTAATGCAAGTGATTGTTCAGGTTAAATAAGTTAAAAATTATTGCTTAGCCATTGTGAGCTAATAGAATATGAACTGGTCACCTGATGAGCAAGAATAATGATCTTTATAAAACTAGTAGTGCCACAACAGCACCTACTTTCTTGCACTTTTTGTAACTGCTCGCATCATTTACAGCAAAAAAGGAAGGATTTTTCATATGTATATAGAACATACTGATCTAAGTACCATCCGATATATCATATTATGAATGCATTCAAAACAATGATATCATTACCTTTTGTGTATCTGTATACATTCTTTCCAACTTAAAATTTAATGTTCTATTTTATTCAACTTACAGAACATTGTAACACTTAACATTAAGTAAATAAAAACCCCTTATCTTGTCTATCTTTTCTTATCTATTATGTCACCATTCAACAATGAACTTCTCAAATAGTGAAGTGAAGTGTCAAAATTGCTTGACGGCAAAATGTACACTATGTGATCAAAAGTATTCAGACACGTCCAAAATGGTGTTATGGTGTTTTTCATGGAGGGGGCTTGCACGCCTTGTTTTGTGTGGAACCATCACGGCACAGGCCTACGTTGATGTTTTAAACACATTCTTGCTTCCCACTGTTGACGTGAGATTCGAGGATGGCGATTGCATCTTTCAACACGATCGAGCACTGCATACTGCACGGCCTGTGACGAAGTGGTTAGACGACAATAAAATTCCTGTAATGGACTGGCCTGCACAGAGTACTGAATCCCATCAAGCACCTCTGGGATGTTTTGGAACACCTACTTCGTGCCAGGCCTCACCGACCTACATCGATACCTCTCTCCAATACAGTACTCCGAGGGATGGGTTGCCATTTCCGAAGAAACCTTCCAGCACCTGAAAGTATGCCTGAGAGAGTGAAAACTGTCATCAAGGCTAAGGGTGGGCCAACACCCTATTGAATTCCAGCGTTAGCGATGGAGGGCGCCACAAACTGGAAAGTCTTTTTCAGTTCCTGATACTTTTGATCACATAGTGTATGTCTGTCTAGCCTTCTAAGCCTAAACCGTTGAGCCAATTTTCTTCAAAATTGATATTTCTCAATCGATCTGAGTGAACTCGTAGCTTTAGGGGTTTCAAACGTATATCTCGATATTTTGAGGGTACTTCACATGAAGCTTCAATCACATTTTCAAAATGTTCTCAAAAATTGCGAAAAATTAAAAAAAGCTAAATTATTAGGGTTTTTGCAAGCCGGCTTGACCTCTTTGAATTGAATTGGCCTTATTTTACGTGCCGACACTCGGGCCATCAGGTCCGCTCTTCCGTCTGACCACGCTAATTTCGCTAAGCTCCTTTCACCAACTACTGGAGAAAGGGAAAAAGGAGGTATTTCTTGGGCGACGAAATGGGCGATTTGAATTTAGCTCAGAGGTTTCATTTAGGCTTTTACATGCAAGTAAATCTACTAACATGGGACAGCCGGATTTACTTCGCCTTCGAAGGAAGGCGTACGAAGAATTTTTTCGCCCTTAGAAATCCACTGCGTTGATCGGGTTTGAACCCGCCAACGTGGGTATAACAGACCGATACGCTAACCGTTAAACAATCGCCGCCTCTTTTGAGGTGGCAGTCATAATCGAATTCAGCACACTCAAAAACATTGAGAATCGTTGGAAAAAAAACGTCCGGAATTTTTTCTTGGGTCCGATACCTTTTTTGACTGAACTACATTGTATTTAAGTTACATTTGAATTGTACACATTCGTCCTTCATCTTGGAGTTTGTGTCAAGAAGAATGCTCAAGTATACAATAGTTCTAACATTGTCTAGCTGAAATTTTGCTATTCTAAAGCATGGAATTGAGAAAGACCTTTTTTGACGAACTATCGTAATTGCTGAGTGTCTTGAGTTTCGATATTTTGAAAAGTAGCTCTAAGGTTTCCACAATTTGCTTGTTTCAACCGTACAGACGTTTTTTGAGTAGCCGGTGGTGCCGCCTTTTTTTTTAAAAATCTTGACCCATTTTTAATACCTTGATTTCAGGAGGTTGTGGGTTAGCAGAGAAAATTCTTGATGTCGCGAAGGAGACAAAAATTAGCCCAAACTTACGGCGTAAGATTTTTGAAGTTTTGAGATATCGGGTGGTTTTCATCTCGTGTTCTCGTACTTAGGGATTAGTATCGATCTTTTTAAAAATGGCCAGAATTCACATGTTACGACTGAACAAAAATTTTCGAATTTTCAGAAAGTGTACCTACAAAATTTATCACCGCCCAATTTTTGCATGTACTACACGCCCATACATGTTGGAAGACGAGTCGAGAGCTTAAAGCTTGGCCTGTCTGAGGCGCCGATCCGTAAGGGGGAGATTCCTGGATTGGGATAGCCTCGCCATCGTACTTGTTGCTCGGTGCCAGATCTCACCATCAGCGGATAGGATCATTGCCGTCTCCATCTCGATCAGGTGTTCGTCCACTTTCCCTGATCTTCGAGCAAATGCTGAGATGGCCCCTTATTTTGCTTCTGGACCTAAATGTAACTTCAAATTCACTTCTCCCCATAGCACGTCATACACAGTTTTTAACCGTTTTTGACGTAAATAAATAAATAATCGGGTAAGATCATAGCCGTCTCTCGTGACAAAAGCGCTCTAGGACTGGACTAATGATAGTAGTTGACGTGCCCGGAAATACGCAATAATCACTCGTGAACCCTAATTTTTGTCCATGTCTATCCCCCCTCCCATCCGTTCATGCGGGCTATAACGATTAGAGATACTCGTATTTTTTGTTGTGTTGTGAGGAATACTAACTTTTCTGCTAATTTTAGTGCGTTCTTCCCTTTAATTCCTATCTTAACTGATTTTACCCCCTAAACCTTGTAAAGCAATATTTGCTTCAGAAAGCTACGTCTTTAGCAATCACATTGGAGATCCGGGAAGAGACCATTGTCAGTTGCTGTCCCGCTGGGTAATTTTTGGTTCCTACTGAGAACGTGCCTTTCGACGTTGCTAAGAATCGTTGCGTGCTGTGCAGGCGCAGCCGGCCTCCCGCCGGAGAAGGAGCTGGCAACGCCGCGGCGGAGACCCCCAGGGCAGCAGAGCGAGTCGCCCCCGCCGCACACGAGGCTGCGGTCGCCCCAGCACTTCGGCGAACATTCGCCTGCCTCGTTCGACAAGGGTGGGTTATCGAGCGCCCACGCAGGCTCTTACGCCGGCGATACCCGGCGTCGCGGCGGCACGGGAGCGTACTCGTGCGAGGTGTGCCGGAAGGTGTTCGCGTTCGCGTCGCAGCTCGTCATTCACCAGCGCACGCACACGGGAGACCGGCCGTTTCGCTGCGACGTGTGCGGCAAGGCGTTCGCGCAGTCGGGCAACCTCGTGGCGCACGCCCGACGGCACACGGGCGAGCGGCCCTTCGCCTGCGACCTGTGCGGCAAGGACTTCGCGCGCGCCTTCAACCTCGCCCTGCACAAGCGGAGGCACCACTAACCCGCTCGCCTCCCTTGACAGCCAGACATCTCGGCCGTAGGACACGTCAACATTCCCCTCTTTTCAGCGGTCAACGGATTGGCGAATTTCGTGGATGGACCTCTGTTAAGCGGACACCTCTACCGATTGTAATACGCGGAAAAGTAATGACGTATTGTCAGATTTCTTCCAACATTGTGCATCCAATGTATCTTCTATTTCGCTGGGAGATTAATTCCTGCTTCGGGTAAACGTGTTGTGTACAGACAGGAGGCTTGTCAATAGTCAAATTGTCAGGAGATATATAGTATCGTAGGCTTTCACGGCCGGAGTCAATAGAAAATAGATTTTCCGGGCTGGTTGGCCGTGGTCCAGTTGGCATTGTTGGGCCAACTATCCACCACCAACCACTACCACACCTGATTGCAGCGGGAAGCCATTGAGATATTCAAGCACCCCAATAATTTCAACAGGAAAGAAGAAGGTCTCATAATCAACTACCTGCTATCCCGTACTGCGCAACACTATTAAAACTCCTTACAAGAACAGAATAACCCAATCTAACCCCAACGCAATCGACAGCCAACCAGAGGCCAGCCCGCGAACCATCATCCAATCGCAAGCTAGCGCGCGAAATTCCCACTGCGGCGCCCCCCTCTCGCTGACTATAAAAGCCGCGGCCGCGCGTCGCCAGTCGCCATCCAGCCGCCGCCCCGAACACTGCGCACGCGACCCTGCAGCCACTGAGGACGTCCACCGCAGACGTGGACATAACGTTCGCCCAACAATGCCAACTGGACCACGGCCTACCAGCCCGGAAAATCTATCTTCTGTCAGAAGATAATTTGTATGCCTGAACGAAGCTTTGACAGTTCACGCGTAAGAAAGTTTCCCCAGAAGTGGATTTAATGGGGGAAGGGGTCCTCCAATTGAATTGTTTTGCTAGATTCACTCGATTTATTCAAGACAATGACCACACATTGATCTATTCCAAAAGAGTGTATTATGCATATACTTTTATGTCAAGTTAACACATTTTCAATGTCTTTATTAGTAAAAAATCAGATTATTCCGAATATCAATTGCCTTCCTCCTCAGAAGTACTTTCCGGATTTGAGTATCCAGATTTGGCTGAAGATATATCAAGTGTTGAGTGTACTGCGTAACGTATGGATTTTGAGCGTGTTGTAATCATCTCAGTACGATTTTCAGTCGTGAAAATCGTGTTTAATGCTCTTTTGAACTTTAACTTTGCACATTACTCCCAGAATTAAGGTATATTGGTGCTGTTCCGAAGGAATTACATGTAATTTTGCACTCGAAAATCTGGATGGATGTCACGAATTAATGTCATATTAGATGATTTGGAAACTTGGTATCGTAATCCTTACGCCTCGGTGTTCCCAGATTCGACGCCAATTTCCCATCCTTGAAGAAGTATTCCCACCCTTGGAAGTTCTATGGTTAGGGTAAAGGGGCTGCCATACCCAAGTCTGTGGGTTCAAACCTGATCGAAGCCGTGGGTTTTTAAGTGCGAAAAAAATCCTTCGTACTCTTTCCTTCGGAGGCGAAGTAAACCCGGCTGTCTCATGTTGTAGATGTACTGCGTGAAACGATCCTCAAGCATACATGAAGCCTCTGAGCCAAATTCAGATCGCCTGTTTCGTCATCGAGTGATGCGTCCTTTCTTCGCTTAGTGTGCGAAAGGAGCCTCTCGGAATTTGCGTGATCAGACGGAAGAGCGGGCCTGATTGGAGCCACCTTGTGATTGCGAACCTCTCAGCTGCGCGGTTGCTTCAGGAGCGTGCGGGTTGATTTGTGAGGTAGCTTTGCAAAAGATGCGGTGGAGATGGGGAGGCAGCAAATCCTGTGTCCGAGGACGCAATGCTGGTTTGACTGGTGATCACATTTCTGAGGAGTTTGTATTCTGGTCATTAGCGTGCAGCCTTTCGGTTGTTGAGCCCTAGATGGAACGCCATTTATGTGGTTGGAGTGGATCTCTCGCGAAGTGCGGCGTTGGTAGTCGGCACGAGACTGAAGGCCCTCGGCCGCAGATGCGACGAACGCGCAGAGTGCAGGATCATCCGGCGAAGGGAGATGCCGGCGACTGTCCGTCGAAATCAGCGCCTTTGTGGGGCAACGGTTAGCGTATCGGGCTGTTATGCTTAAGTTTGCCGGTTCACACCCGTTAGAAACCATGGAACGTTAAAAGTGAAGAAAATAGTTTGTACGCCTACATCGGAGAAGTAAAGCCAGCTTTCCCGTGTGGTAGATTTACTGCGTCAAACCCAAAATAAGCTTATGAGCTAAATGTATCGTCGTTTTCGTCGCCCGAGTGATACCGTCTTTCACCGCTACATGATGAAATGAGTGTACCGAAATTGGCATAGTCGGACGGAAGAGCAGGTCCTAGTCTCGCCATGTAAAATACATTGAATTGAAATCAATTTCGCACGTATACGAACTGAGGTGGTGGTGGAAGCCACGGGCAGCCATGTGAGGTGCGCAATGTTCAGAGTCGCGAAGCTTTTAGCCTGCTTTCACAAATTCGCTCTCGGGAAAACTTAATGATCTCCGGGAACGCGTTGTTTATGGACGTCTAAATCTTGGTCATATCTGGAAAATGTCGATGTTGCGATGGTCCGAAACTTGATTGGTTAACGAGTCCGTTTTGAGAGTTACGGTTCCGTCAGAAAAAAATCCCAAAAGTTGTTTTTATTAGAACGCGAGTGACCGGGTTGGCGACCCCTCGTGTGGCAGAGCGCCGGCTGCTTCGAAATTCCCCCAACTCTCAGCTGGGTATAGTCACAATTGGTGCGTAAGGAGTAAGGTCTAACTGTGGTGTTCCCATGGGACTAGCGGTAACTAAAATGCTGATATTCTTGTATGCGCGACTCCTGCTGGGAGGCGAGAGAGGCAGGGCAGACGAAAATCAGACTCTTCGCCACTTCGAAGTGGTCTCTTCTCGCTAACTCTAAAATATGTTGTTTTAATTAGTTTAATACTCTGAAATAAGTTTTTTGAAATGAATGAAAAGATGTGTCCGTTGTAGGTTGTTACGTGCTAGATCGGAAGGACGGTACCCTCACTTTTTCGGACATCGGTTCTGAAAACATGTATAGAAGAGTGGCCCACGAGACGTTGTGAAGAGTCATTACATGTTGTGCAGGTACAGACGGCCTCCCAATGAAGGAACTGGCAACGCAGCTGCGGAGTCTCCCAGGGCAGCTGAGCGAATCGACCCCGCCGCACACGGAGCTGCTGTCGTCCCAGCATCTTGGCGAACATTCACCTGCCTCGTTCGACAAGGGTGGGTTATCGGACGCCCACGTAGGCTCATACGCCAGCGATACCCGGCGCCGCGGCGGCGCGGGAGTGTATTCTTGCGAGGTGTGCCGGAAGATGTTCGCGTTCGCGTCGCAGCTCGTCAATCACCAGCACGCGCACACGGGAGAGCGTCCTTTTCGTTGTGGCACGTGCGGGAAGACCTTCATCCGGAAGACACACCTCACCTGTCACCAACGCACGCACACGGGAGACCGGTGCTGCCGTTGTGACGTGTGCGGTAAGACATTTGCTGAGAAAGATTTCGTCACACACACGCGTGTACACACGGGAGAGCGGCCGTATCGCTGTGATTTGTGCGGTAAGGGGTTCGCTCAATCTGGGAACCTCACCGCTCACATGCGCATGCACACTGGAGAGCGGCCGTTTCGTTGCGATGTGTGCGGTGACCAGTTCGCCCGATCAAGCACTCTTGTTGTTCACTTGCGCCGACATGCTGAAGCGCAGCCGAATCGCTGCGACGACTGAAGGATGGGTTTGAGGCGCAGATCCACCCTCGCCTGTCACAGGTCATGCTGCACTCACTTGGTCGCTCATGAAGCCAGCTGTATACCTGCACTGTATTACTGCGCTGTATACCTACCACAAAGGATGTTAAATTAGTAGCACGTTGTCGAAAATTGCGCAACCGCGCAGTATTCCGGAGAGCAAACGAAGAACTTTATCCTTAAAGAAAACACCAGTGGAAATGGTATGTAAAAAAATCGTTCGCGAACTGTGCAACTTCCTATTTGGTGGAAAGAGTAGTCAGTAGATGATGTTTCACCAAGTATTAAAGAAACGTTTGTGGTTTCAATGATGCCTTATTTTCCGTGGTGAGGCGCAGGCTATCTGACCTGCTCTTCCGCTTGACCACGCAAATTTCGCTACGCTCCTTTCACCAACTAGCGGAGAAAGGAGGTGTTTCTTGGGCGACGAAACCGGCGATTTGAATTATGATTAATAAAATTTTCTCAAATTGTCTTTACTAATTCTGCTGCATTACTCTCCGAAATATACGTCGCGGCATTGTTTCCCGAGGCAGCGCCTGTAGTATTGTAAAATTCAAATGTTCGTCAAAATTAATGGTACACAATTTTTTCAAATCCTCTTTTATGTAAAGTATTAAAATAATGCTAATATAATCCAAACCCAACCAATTCAAATGAAGCGCTTGTGGTGGATACCTTCATTTATTTCGATAGCCAGGAACAAAAGTCATTTCTAACTTCTGAAATGAAATATACCATAATTCGCGATCAAAATTTCTTGAAGTAAATAAGTTTGTTAGAGCTGAATTAAATTTATTACCACCCATCAATCTACTTTCTTTTATAAGAATAGTAATAGCTTTCAAACACTTCTCAACTGATGTCCACGAAGCGCAGTCAATTTTGAGTGGGCGACTTTGTAATCACAATACACCAATAATACTCGTATTTTCAAAAAATCCCCAGACCTTATTCGAAGATCTGTTCTTATGAACACATTTAATTAAGAAAAAAATATCTTCACAATTGTAGTAAGAAGACGCCGAAATTTCTTTATTATTATTATTATTATTATTATTATTATTATTATTATTATTTCACAAAATCATGCATTTTAACGAACATGAGACCTGCACAATTGTCTTGAGCGTTCTTTATGCCACCTAAGATTCCTAGTTAATAAAAACAATTTCTGCTGTTTTTAAGAATAATTGTTTAATGTAAATAAAAATCGCCTATGTTTGGCACAAAATTTCACAAAAATACTCATTGTAATTGTGATTCACATTGATAGTGACCTTATTTGAAAATTGATTTTGATGAACACATTTCATTAAGAACAAAAATTATATCTTCGTAATACTGTAGTAGGAAGAAGACGAACAAATTTTGAATTTCTTCAATTTTCGAAAAATCAGAGTTATCCACCAACATGACACCCACGTCTTTCAGACTATCAAACAACAAAATTTAATAAAAACCGATGGCGACATATTTTTAAAAATGTAGAAAATGTACCTGGGGCTTCATGTAAAGTACCCCAAAAAATTAAAATATCGATTTCAAATTCAAGGGGCCGTGACATCAGCCAGATCGATTGGGGAATATCAGTTTTGGAGAAAATCGACTGAAAGGTTTCGCCGCTAGCGTTCACAGAGGACATGTTTTGCCATCATTCGATTGTTGGTATCAAAAACCCCCAAAACGTGAATTCTGGCCACACCACGTCTTAGAGGATTTTGTTTCTAAATTTAGCAACGATTTATTCACTTTTTCGTTACCAGGGCCCTGTAATAAGTGTGTCTGTCGGAAATTCGCAGTTTCTCGCCCAGCATTACATAACTCTTCTTAAGAAGTTTCCTCTTAAGCGCGAGAAAGTAAAAAATGGTTGTTTATCACATCTTTTACGGCTAAATATTATAACCTCGCTCAGTTCTTCGCACTGTTTAGTGTTTTCCTATGCAACGAATGCCTAAATGTCATAAACAAAGTGGAGGAGAAATATATCTTAGTAAACTCGCTTGTCCGACTGGGGCGAGAAAGTCTTTCGCCTCTGCGGAGGCGAATGAGAAAACTTTAACGTCTGCGGCTGTCGATGTCCCTTGTTTCGATTTTCCACCTTTCTCGTCGCACGTTGTCTCCATACGCATTCCTCGGTGTTGTCTGTTGCAAGCCTTAGACTCGTTTGACATTCTTATTAGCGGCCCACTCGCGTACACAAGCTCTCCATACTTCCAAAACCTGTAGGCCTTTGTAGCTGCCATTGCAGGTTTTTATTTTGTATGCCGAGGATGTTTTACATTGTTATTCAATTTTTGAAATCGACGATTTACGTGAACATAAATTTGTGTACTTTTCATAAAACGTTTTTCAAAGTGTGGACTTTTAAATTACGTGCCATCTTTGTAGTTAATGAAATAAAAGGAAAGTAAATTTATTTTATGAGTAGTGACAATATACAACACCAAATGAAAATTTGTAGTACGAATTTGCTTTGTATTATTACTCATATTGAGGCGAATCAAGAAATGTGACTTTGGATTGACTGGTTAAAATTTAATGGCGTGCCAATCGTAGTGTTTTAACTTGAGTTTTGTGCAATGTTTTCTTTAATGTAAAAAATGTTCTTACATATTGATATAAAGCAATAAAAGTTCTATACTACTATAATGTTCAGAAGAAGTTTTAAGTTTTGCCTCCTCTCTAATTCGCTCTCCTTTTTCTTTACTTCACCTTCTCCCCGATACGAAAGCATCACAGCGATTTGCAGGGAGCGGTGAGCAGTCATATTGACATTCAGGCACAATCCTTGCCGTTTAAGTGGTAACTGCCTGTTAGAGTGGTCAGCCATATTATTATAATCACTAAGTAAATATCACTTTTTGTCACTTCTTTGTAAAAGAAAAATATTCCTGATGCACGTTTTCAATTTTTTTTATTATGCAAATATTAAACGTACTTGCATGAGGGGTTGTCCATAAATTACGTAACTGAAGAGAGGGAGGGAGTTTGAGACAGCGTTTCGCTGCGTTACATTGGGGAAGGGGGTCATAGTTTAGTGTAATGTAATGCTGATATTTCTTTTTAAAATCTTTCAACATTTGCTGAAATACTTTTATTCACTCTTATACTAAAACTTTTCTATGTTAACAAATGAAATTGAAAATGTAATAAATTAAAGAAGTTTA